AGCTGCAGGATTACATTCCAACACTCCCTTCTAATCCTTTAGCTGATTTCACACCAAGTAGGCTTCTTAAACTAACAAAACGATCCTTAGGCGGGGCCTTGGTCAAAATATCTGCTATTTGATCTTCTGTCTTGCAGTAGATTAGCTCAATTTCTTTTGCTTGAATAGCTTCTCTGATGAAATGAAATTTCCGACTGATATGTCTAGTTTTCTGGTGATGAACTGGATTCCTTGCCATTGCAATAGCAGAAGTGTTATCACATAGGATTGGTGTACCTTCTACTTGTTCTTCACCAAAATCCTCAAGCACAAATCTTAGCCACTTAGCCTGTGAAGTTGCTTCTGCAGCACTCACATACTCAGCTTCTGCTGTGGACAAAGCCACTGTGTTTTGCTTGATAGAAGCCCAAGAAAACATGCCTGAGCCTTGTGTGAAGGCATATCCTGAGGTACTTCTCATATCATCCTCACTCCCTGCCCAATCACTGTCACAATACCCTATTAGAGTAGTTGTTTTCCCTTTCACAAACTCAATGCCAAAATCAAGTGTGCCCTGTATGTATCTCAGAACTCTTTTGGCAGTTCCCATGTGTTTCTTTGTGGGATTGTGCATGAATCTAGCAAGTAAGCTAGATACAAACATTACATCTGGTCTTGTGGCAGTCAAATAAAGCAGCTCCCTACTATCTGTCTGTATTCACTCTCATTTGCTGCTTCACTTCCATCTTCTTTGCACAGTTTCTCAGTGGTATCGCCACTGACTTGCAATCTTTCATTCCAAACTTCTCAAGAAGTTTCATTGCATATTTCTTTTGATGAATAAAGATGTGCCAATCTGTTTGTACCACTCCCATGCCAAGAAAGTGATGCAACAAACCCAAGTCTGTCATCTCATAGTGTTGCTTCATATCCTGCTTAAACTCTTCAAGCAATTTGGAACAACTACCAGTATAGACAATATCATCTACATAAAGTGAGAATAATAATACTTGAAGTGTCATTAGTTTTGACATAGAGAGTAGCTTCACAAGAACTCTTTTTGAATCCTGCATTGTTGAAGTAGGCATCTATCTCATCATACCAGGCCCTTGGAGCTTGTTTCAGTCCATATAGAGCCTTGTTCAACTTGTACACTTTGGTTTCTTTATTCTCTTGGACATAACCTTGTGGCTGTTCAACATAGACTTCCTCCTTTAGAATGCCATTGAGAAAGGCAGACTTCACATCCAGCTGATACAAACTCCATTTCTTTTGTGCAGCAAGAGCAATCAAGGTTCTGATGGTGTCCAGCCTTGCCACTGGGGAAAATGTTTCATTGTAATCGATCCCAGGCTTTTGTGAATAGCCTTTAGCAACCAGTCTAGCTTTATTTTTCTGCACAGTGCCATCTAGATTAAGTTTGATCTTGTAGACCCACTTGACACCAATTACAGGTTTGTCAAATGGCCTGTCAACTAATTCCCATGTATTGTTCTTCTTAATCATCTCTAATTCTGCCTTCATTGCATTTTTCCATGATTCATCCAAATCAGCTTCTTCAAAGCTTTCAGGTTCCACAACGCACATGTTACATTGTGTCATGATTTCATTAACGCTCCTCCACTTGTGAGGTGTGTGATCAAAAACTTGAGACTTGTCAAGTATTTCCTCATCTTGAGGTACAATATCTTTTTCAACTTGCATTTGAGTATCCAAGAACTGAGTTGGTTCATCAAATACAATCTGTTCATGTTCTGCATTACCTTGGTTTTCAATTTGCATAGGCATTCTCAACTCTGCATTACTAGTATTCTCCCATTTCCATGAGGCATCTTCATCAAAGTAAACATCTCTAGACAAGATAATCTTTCTAGTTCTAGGATCATATAATCTGTACCCCTTTTCACAAAGTCCATAGCCCACAAAAATGCATTTGTGACTGTTTTCTTCCAACTTGTGTCTTAATGCAGAAGGGATAAGCACATGACATAGAGATCCAAACACTTTCAAGTGTGCAATACCTAGTTTTCTTCCAGTATAAGCCTCAAATGGTGTCACCTTCTTAAGAGACTTACACTACTAAAAAAAGGCTCAAAAGAGACTGAGTACTATCAGTCCCTTTTGGCTTCTTTAGGGACTGAAAACAGTGCCTATTGTAGTATTAGGGACTGATATATATCAGTGTCTTTTAAAGGGGTCCTCTATTGATAAATATGTCACTGATTATAAAAATCAGTGCCTAATTTTCACAATGGGTCCCACATTCCTAGCACCCAATACGCGTACATCAATCTCAAATACATCCGTGCCTAATATAATCAAAAGGCACAGAAAGCTCATCAGTCCCTACTAAAATAGAAAAGCATTTTCATTATTTTTGATATATTTATATTTATTTGGTGGTTTTTTGTATATGATTTGTAATTTTCAATTTATCCACCATCCGTGCCTATAAAAAATATTCTTTTAAAAGTTATCATATATTTAAACATTTGCAACCCAGCCTCAATCCGTGCCTTTCAAACATTCATTGGTTTTTTTTTTTTCCAAATATTCATTGTTCTTCAAATAAATGAATTACATTCCTAATGGAAATACTTATATTCAACACTTCCGAAAATAATGAGAATACACCATACACAATAATTCCATTAATCTTTTCATAATGAAAATACAGAAAGTGTTGAAAGTGGTGGACCTATCCTCATGACTATTACATTAGTATTTTCATCCTGAAAATAGACCAAGAATTGCAAGTGGTCAACCTTTTTAGCAAGGATATTACAGTTATGATATTAAAAACCAAAAACTTACTTGGAAAAGAGAAAAAATACAGAATTTCATTAAGCTCCACCTTGCTATTCACCATTAACTGCCATTCAGCTCCTCCTTGCTTGACTTGATTCGCCATTGAGTTTCTCCTTGCTTGACTGGATTTGCCACAATCACTCAACTGAGTATTGGCTTTCCTCTGGCCAAAAGGTAATTATGAGGTACTCTCTATATGCTAAGGTATATATCAATATAAATGAAATACAAACAGCATGCCTATAAATTAGAAAACAAACTAATTTGCATATTATCATGCATTTCAATGGTTCTCTCAAGATCTGGAATTGAGTTTTCATAGTATAACTCACCTTGGTAAGAACTTTGCAAGAACATACAATCTTTTAGCACCAAGTCACCCAACTTGCTCGATCTTCCTGACATCCAGAAAATGTGACGAATACAAAAAGGGAAAGGGCAATGATCACATATTAGTTTACCATATAGAAAAAGGATTATTTCTCCATTGTTACAAAAGAAGTAACTTTCTGATTTGAATAAGTGACAATAGCAGTTAAATTTCGCATTGAAGAAACAAATGGGAATCAATGTAGATAATCTCTTGGAGTTATTTCAGTTAATGATAAATCAAGATCACATAAGCATTCAAGAACCAATAACATTTTGATAAACCCATATGAAAACATAGAGATATGCACCAACCTAGCTGTGGTCTTCAAACAGAACAGCCTATAAAGCTTCAGCCCATGGCCTTAAAAAGAAAGATATAAAATTAGAAAGAAAAGAAAAACATCAACAATAACAAATAGAAGCCACAGTTAGTCAAAGTAGTGCACCAAATTTAACCTTATGTCTCTAACTCTAGTCAATACAAAATTTCATCACAATAAACTAAATTTATCAGATAAAAAGGAATAATAAATAAATTTTACGAATATAAATTAAGATATAAAATGTGCTCATCAACAGCCATAAAATACCATTAATTAAGCTCCTCCTCCTTGACTTGGTGTAGTCTCCATTTGCTTCAAGGGGCAGCTCATCTTCAAGCCTTTTTCCATTCCTCTACACCAAATTTTTCCAAGATATTAAGACAAACTGTACCTAATGTCAATTGTCATGTACAACACTTGTGCCCCTGTTATATGAAATTTATGAATTACCTCAACATCCATGTGTATCACAATTGTAATGGGTATTTTTTAAAGATACATCCACAAGCTCAAAGGGAAGTACCAAAAATGAGGAGAATCTAAGAGTCATGAATTAGTAAATTCGAGGAAAGCAGAAGATGACATTTAATCATAATGCCGCAGTTAATACCTACCATAGAGATAGATGACTATTAATAATCAAGATAAATGGGTAAAAGGGTAGGGAATAACTCAAAATTAGCTTAAACAGCAAATGACTACTATGTTGCTACTCTTACTCCTGCCTAGTATGCGAATCCCTCCTATTCATTGGTTTTGGTCAACATATTTGCATTTTCAGGCTCAAAGAAGCATCTTCGTACCAAAATATTTGTTGCAAAAACTACCTCAATCCTTCATTTGAATGAATGCGTTAACTAATTAATTAATTAATTACTCTGCTTCAAAAAGAGAGAGAGAGAGAAAAAAAAAAACACAAGGAATTCAAGCATTAGGAAAATGTACCAAATTTATGATGAAAATTGAAGGTTAGTGCAAGTGTAGATACGGGCAAAGTTCATACCTTGAAATGCAATATGATTCACAGACTCCCTAATTATAAAGAAATTTGGGCTAGTGCGAGTGCGCTGTCAAATGGAACCCTAAAAATGATTTAAACATGTCACCTTTGAAGAGTCCAAGTTCACAATGAAAAGAAGGAAAGGCCAATAGTGGCTTTGACAGAATCACAAACACATTCAAAAGTGGCTTCGACACCCAATTTACCCGAGTCCAAACAACTAGAGACTTTGCACCCGTTAAAATCCACAAGACACTGATTAATTAATCTGGAAATTGAAACTAATGATGTAGGGATTCGTAAATCAATAGTTAAAATACATAAGATAGTTATGCTTTCAAATTTTCAAACCTTCCAAAAGTTATCAAATTATAATATGCAAATCAAATTACAAAAAGAAGAGGTGAAAAGAAACAACTATACCTTTCGCCTTTGAGCTGGAGGAGGCAGCGGTCTGAGTTTGGTTTATGGGTAAAATTTGGGGGTTTTTCGCCTGGGTTTCGGTGGGGTCATTGGATGGTGCAAGAGGCAATTAACGGGACTAAGAGGTTGAGAGAGAGGGCTGAGGGAAGACTGCGGTGTGAGAATATATTAACGACTACGATGGAGAAGCGCCGTGTCAATTGCCGAAGACCAATGGACATCGTCATAAAGGTTATCAAAAAAATTGAAACCTGTTAAGCCACGACAAACGATCCCAGAGATCGGAGGATCTGAGTGAGATAGAGAGGTTGAGAGAGGAGAGAGGGAGGAGGAGGAGGTAGTTCAAGAGTTGAGAGAGAGAGAGAGAGAGAGAGAGAGAGAGAGAGATCTATACTTGCCTGAAAAAAGAAAAAGAAAAAACCTAAAATCTGAGGGGTAAAAGAAAGAAGGAAGGGTGTAGATACGTATAAGTTTTTAGTTGGTATTTGGTATAATGACACGGTGGAGGGCTTTTAGGCATGGTCTTTAAGTTATCCGTGCCTTTAGTGAAGATGGTGGAGGGCTTTTAGGCACGGTTGTTAGTTATCTGTGCCTTATTTGTTAACTTATTCAAATAATTAGTCACAAAATTTATTAATCCGTCCCTAATAGGATTATATAGAGACTGTTTCTACTATCAGTCCCTAATAACATTCAATAGAGACTGTTTTTATTTGTGTCTCTAATAAAGGGGTCCCTATTGAGCGTTTTTCTAGTAGTGTTAGAAGGACACCTGTTGAGTAGATATATTGCAGTATTAACAGCTTCTGCCCAAAACTCATAAGGAAGACCCTTTTCATGTAGCATAGACTTTGCCATCTCTATCACAGTCCTGTTCTTTCTCTCAGCTACTCCATTTTGCTGAGGAGAATATGCTATTGTCAGCTGCCTTTGTATTCCAACCTCACTGCAATACTCATGAAACTCATTTGACATGACTTCTCCACCTCTGTCACTTCTTAGGCATTTCACCTTATATCCACTTTGCAATTCTGTCATACCCTTGAACTTCTTGAAGCATTCAAAAGCATTTGATTTATTTCTAAGAAAATAAACCCAAGCCATTCTTGTACAGTCGTCTATGAATAACAGGAAATACCTGTTTTCTGACATGGATGCAATTTACATTGGTCCACAGACGTCTGTGTGTACCAATTCTAGTGGAAACTGAGCTCGCCAAGTGGATTCTGCAGGAAATGATTATCTCTATGTTGCTTTCCTAGCTTGCAGCCTTCACAAACCTCAAGATCCTTTTCCAAACTAGGCAAGCCATGAACCATGTCTTGACTTTCAAGTAGCCTAATGCTTTGATCATTAAGATGCCCCAGTTTCTTGTGCCAAGTTTGCAAGCTGTGTGTCACACTTGCTCTCAGCACCAACTGAGTAGCTGGCACCATTGTGTGAGGAAAGCACCTGTTGCTAGTCATTTGAATTTTAGCAATAGAATTTTGCAGTGACCAGTCATCGAAAATTGTCACCATTCCCTTTCCAAATACCAGGCTATATCCATGCTCCATCATCTGCCCAACACTAAGCAAATTTTCTTCTAATCCAGGCACCAACATCACTTCTTGAATGTGCTTTCTGCCCACTTTGGTTTCTATCACAAGTGTGCCTTTCCTTGCAACTTGGATTGTCTCTCTAGTCCCCATTTTCACCTTGGAATTTACATTCCTTCGAATATCCACCAATAGCCTTTCATCTCCAGTCATGTGGTTACTGCAATCACTGTCAACATACCATGAGTTGTTCATCTTCATCTTCACATCTGTCACAACATTACAAGCATAAAACAAAGTTCCAGTTTCTTCAATCTGGTTTGCATAATTCACCTTCTGTACAGATTGATTTCCATGGCAATCTCTGAGTATGTGTCCAAACTTTCCACACCCTTTGCATTTTGGCTTTCCTTCAAACCAACACTTGCCATAGTGCAGTTTCTCACAATGCTTGCAAGGTGTTTTGGTTCCTTCATTTGATGCATTTGGTTTGGGAGTAGAATTAGACTTGTTACTCCAATTCTTTCCATTTGACTTCCAGTTCTTCTTAGATTTGTGATTTCCAAAAGAACTTCCACTCTTAGAGTTTTTACTCTCTATATTCAGGCTAGTAAAAGCCCTTTCTGTGGAGTTTTCAGTATGCCTATCCAATCTGAGCTCAAAGTTCTTCAGAGATGCAACCACTTCTTGAACTTCAAGAGTGTCAAGGTCCTTAGAATGCTCAATCACAGAGCATATAGAATCATACGATCCAGGCAAGCTAATCAGCAATTTCTGCACAACTCTTTCTCTAGACAACTCTTCACCATAATCTTCATTTGATTAATTAAATCAAACAGTTTAGCGATATAAACAGACAATGGTTCACTATCCTTCATACGAGTATATTCAAACTCTCTACGTAGACCTTGCAACTTGACACTTGATCGGTTCATAATTGTATATCATTTTGTACCCTTCTAGCTTATTGATCGGTTCATAATTGTATATCATTTTGTACCTTTCTAGCTTATGATTTGGTTATGTTTTTGAGTTAAACTTGTGCTTT